TTCCCCCTAGCCCCAGACAACCACTAATCTGTTTCTCTTGGTTTTTCTCTTCTGGCCATTTCATTTAAAAGGAATCATATGATGTGTGGTTTTTTTGTATCTGTCTTCTTTCACATAGTATAATGTATTCAAGATTCATCCATGTTGTGTATATGTCAATATTTTATTCCTTTTAATGGCTGAATAGTATTCCACTGTATGGATGTACCACATTTTGTTTAGTCATTCATTAGTTGATGGACATTTGAGTTGTTTCCACATTCTGGCTACTATAAATAATGCTACATAGGCATTAATGTACAAGTTTTTATGTGAACATATGTTTTTCATTTTCTTGGGTATACACCTAGGTGTGGAATTGCTGGGTTCATATGGTAACTCTGTGTTTTACTTTTTGAGAAACTGCCGAACTGTTCTGTACAGTTCAGTGGTTTGCTATTATTTTTGTTTACTATCTGGAAAAGCTCAATAGAGATTACTTTTCTGAGTTGATCAAGGCCAGTATCACCATTAAGAAGACATATTGGCATCACAAACCTTGTGATACAATGCACCAAGAACACCACTGCATCATTTCTGTGGTGCTTCTGTCAAGGATGTGTAATGTCAGTTTAATCATGAGAAGACACCAGGCAGTCCTGAAACTGTTGTCTTCCTCTAGGGTGTCAGGGCCGTAAAAGACCTGGGGAGAACGAGGAACTGTTGCAGACTACAGGATACTAGGGAGAAATAACCAAAGTCCACATGGGATCTTGGAACAGAAAAGGACGTTAGTGGAAACACTGCTAAGGTTTGAAAAGGATCTTTAGTTTGGTTAATGGTCTTGTTAATTTCCCAGCTCTAATAATTGTCTATGGCTGTGTAAGATATTAACATTGGGAAAGGCAATGTTAGCGATATATGGAAACTCTGGACTATTTCTGCAACTTTTGTGTAAGTTAAAGGTGGTTCAAAGTAAAACGTTAAAAGAAACCCAGCCTTTTATTATTGCTCACATGTCTGCAGAACAACTGTACTTGGCTGACCGTGGCTAGTCTCAGCTGGGCTCAGCTCCAGCCTACAGTTTGGGTCCAGGTCTGCCCTGGGGGTCTCTCATCCTTCTTAAACTGGAATGCTAGTGAAGCATGTTCTTCCTGGCGATAGCAGAATTCCAAGAGATGAGCCAAACACACCGGCATATTTCAAACCTCTGTGGCATATTTGCTAACACCCCACTGGCGAAGGCATGTTACAAGCCAAGTCCAAGGTCAAGGGATGGGAAAGTCCGTTCTTACTCGTAAGAGGGGCTGCAAAGTCACACAGCAAAGGATGTGGATACAGGCAGAGGAGAAGAAAGCTGGTGACAATAATGCAGTCTACCACAGATTTTTATTTTTCCCCTGGGGAAGGCAGGAGTTGTTACCTGGGTCTTGGCCTGTGATTGAAGTCAGTGACAGAGAGTCCCACTGGGAGTCAAAACTCAAGTATGATGTGGCCTTTCTTAATTGGGACAGGGCTTCTCCTTAATATAGACAGAGTTTCCTCAGGCTTGGGTCTGTCCCCAGGGAGCCAGTGGGGAACACAGACACTGTAGGCTTTGCAGGCCTGTTTACCTTTCTGGATCCCCGTCTTATTTTCTGCCTGTTCGTTGCTCTTTGCCTCCAATCCCTAATTCTGTACCTGCGTGGATCTGGTGAGTTTTTGCCTTTGCTCCTCCCCAGTGTTATGGGCCCTTCACAGAGGCCCTAGAAGGATGCAGGTCAGATCACACCCTCTCTCCAACTTGGCCTTTTTCCCAGAGGGGTGGAAACATTGGAAATGCTGTATTTTCTGCTGCGTCTGCCACTGCTGCTTCCATGGCTGGTTTTGTGTATTTTCAATGAACGTAACTTGTATTTTAAGTTAATGCTATTGTGGTTGCTCTTGCCCCCTGTGGTGGCTTATGTGAAAGGAGTAATTTTGAAAATTTCCCCAAATAAAATAAATTGATTCACATAAAATCCTAGTCCCTTCCTTGGCCAGTGTAGCATGGTATAACTTGTTATATTCGGAAACTTACAATGTCATGTACATTTTTCTTTTCCATTTCTAATTTCAATCAAAAGTCTAAAAATTCAAGATTCTGCTATTATTAGTAGTAGAGTAGTGTTAATCCTGCTAGTGCTAAAAATAACTATTGACATGACTACTAATTATTATGAATCTACTTTTTCTAGTGAAAATCCTTGTTGGCCTTTCCACATACCTCTAGGTCAGTTAGGATTCTCTCTCTTTCATTTTTAATTTTTCATTCAACAAATAATTGTGGAGGGTTCCCTGAATGCTAAGGCCATGTGCTAGGCCCTGGGATAAAATGGTGAGCATTTATATTAACCACATAACTAAAAAACTAAAATATAACTACTGGCTGAGGTAAGTGCTATAAAAAAAAAGTCATGGTGCTATGAAAACTTTTAGGGGGCAGCTGGATCTGGTCTGGGGAAATAGAGGCTGCCTCTCAGCAGAAATGACTCAGCTGGGATTGAAAAGAGGAGGAGGGGGAGGCTGGGGCTGGAAGGAGCATTCTGGGCACAGGAAGCAGCCGTGGAATGGCCCCACGGTAGGAGGGAGCATGGTTCTTCCATGGAATGGAAAAATGCCACGTGGCCTAAAGCATGGGGGCTGAGTGGTGGGCAAGGCTGAAGGGGAGGCCAGGGCTCGATCGTAAAGGGCCTGGGTGACCAGCATGAGGACGATCATCTTTATTCTAAGAACAGTAGGAATCCATTTAAAGGGTTGAAGCAGGGGAGTGACATAGATTTGTATTTTGAAAAAAGAAAATCATTCATTATAAAGAAAAATTGGTTTGGGAGGTAAGCGTAGATAGGGAGGTCAGTTGGAAGGCTGGCAGTGTCCACAAGAGAGGTGGTGATGGTTTGAACAAGAGCAGAGGTGGGGAGGACAGAGAAGGGTATAAATTCAAGAGACATATGACAGGAAAAATCACCAGGTTTTGGAGAGATAGATTGGGTATGGAGGTGGGTAGCACAGTAGAGGGAATACCCAGGGTGACCTCCTTAGCATTCAGCCAGGAAGTTGCTCTGTTGTTTTGTCAGTTTGGGATCTCTCCAGGTGAGACAGCCTGTTTTCTTCACATGTTCAGTGATGAGCTATATTAATGCTAAAGAAGTTACCTGTTGCCCCATGGTCATAGGAATAGGACAGAAGTTGTTCTTGCCAGTATTTGGCTTCATCTGCTCTCAGAACCAACTTCCTCAGCCATTAGCTCTATTTACCTACCTCAGCCTGGGTTTCCCGATGGCTCACCAAGCCAGCAGCCTCCACAGCCCTTCCAGTCTTCCAGCCTCTTCTGCCCTTTGCCTCCTGCACGCAGCCTGACTGTTTCTGTGTCTGAGCCTTTGCATGCAGGGCTCCATTTATTTGGGATTCCCTTTTTTATCCCAGTCTGGCGCTCACTTTTTGCCTCATTTAATCACCAATTTAACCTTATTCAGGAAGCCTCCCCAGAGAAATGTTTCCCCACTTTATTCTGAACATATTGTTTTTATCCTTGAAGCGTTTTGGATAGGTTTGAGGTTAGAAGGGGATCATTATGCACATACACTCAGGTACTTATGTTCCCATTTATTTTGTAGACAAAGGTACAGAAATTCCCTGCTGAAGTGGGACGGCAGGAACAGAACAGAATGTCTTGGCCTGGTGTTTCCCTGGCTCCTTTGTTCTGTGATGGAAGCACAGTGGTTGGAAGTTGGAATTCACTGTGGTCTTGCCAGAATTGAGAAAACTTGAATTCTTGCCACATTGTTACCCTTTTATACTCAGGGTGTACCTGATGGTTCTGAGAGAACTTGTACCATGTGCTTCCCTTATGGACCGTTTCCAGATTGTCATCCTTTTTTGATTTTTGAATCAAGCTCAGCATCAGCAGGGCAATGCCATCCTCGGTCAGGAAGAAGCAGAGTCCAAGTTCAGGCATCAGAGCAGCATCTTTGCTTCTAGGTTTTCAGTCTCCTGAAGAGCTCTTTCCCTGAAATTCTGTTATCTCTGCAGCAATTAACATTCCTCTTTGTTTTCCTAGAACCTAGCTCCCACAGTGGCCTGGTGTATAGTGGTAGTTGCTTGGTAAATATCAGTTACACGAATAAGTATAACATTCCATTTGTAGTATGTGATGTTGCAAGATTGCTTTTTTTTATCCTTGGGTAATTTTTTACAGTGTGTATGAATAGCCCATCCATTCACAACACTTGTTTTTCCAGCTAGTGCATCAGCTCTTCTGAGATAGGTGGGTGTAGGAGTTTAGTTTCTCTTGGTTCCAACCCCTGCCTTCTTGGCCTGCCATGCTGCCCTCCTGCCTTCCAGTCTCTTGCTTCCTTGCTTCTTCCTTCTCATATATGTTAAGTGCCACAAATTTTATATGTCAAGCTCTGACCCAGAGGTTTGGGGGGTAGGGAAGGAGGAGATATAGTCCCTGTGCTCAGGGAGGAGAGAGCCTCATAGAAGAAGGCTGCTTAAATTGATGACGGTGGGGAGGTATACGCTTGCTGGAATGGTAAGCTGTCTGGGGTTCTAACAAGGGAGGGGCACAAAAGGTGCTGTGGGCACAAAGGATGTTGTGTGGCCATGTCCTGAGGGTAAGTAGGTATTCACCATTCATCTACTGAACATAACAGAAAGGCTTATAGCTCATTGTAAAGAAAATAGAATGGCTTAAATATGCAGGTTCTAACTAGGGGACGTTAGTCTCTAGATTGAAATGCAGATATCCTTGCCCACCTTGCCTCATACCTTTCTTGGAAGTAGATTAGTAAAAGGTGACTGGTGTTAGAGAGAGAGAGGTAAGAAGGGAGAGAGAGAGAGAGGTAGGGAGGGAGGGAGAGGGAGATATGGGTGGATTGAGCACAGCACAATCTGGTCTTCATGAACTAATAAATCCTATCGGCTTGTTAGCCAGCCATTCCATCACAGTGTCCCTCTGAGGATTGTATACCTCATGAACCTTCTCTGTTCTTGGTTTTTAGGTCAGGCTGTCCCTGCAGGATCCCATGTGCGGCTGAATCTCCAGACGGGGGCAAGAGAAGTGAAACTCCAAGATGAGGATGAGTTCCGAAATACTCTGAAAGGGTCAAAAAAAGGCAAAAGGTACAGTGTCAACCTTAGGGGCTGGGAGGCTGACAGCATTGATTTTTGTAATACTGTAAGTTATGACAATGCAATGTTTCTTACCCAAATTCATGCGGCTTTAAAAAAAAATTGAAATTTAATAGCATAGAATTTGTGATAAATCTCTCAGGGTTTTATGGAAGTTTACTTCTATGGTCTTTGGAAAGAAATAGTTTGCAAAGCAAATTGATACTTTAAAGAATGCTGTAGGGGCAACGCTTAACCTGTTTTAAAAATGAATCTGTTTTTCCCAGTACTTTAAGAGCACCCATTTGAATCCCAACAATTAATGCGCTGATTACAGATGAGTCATCTATTCATTAAAAGAGGTCTGTTAGGCCTTCTGCTTTGCAGTAATACTTCCTTGGTGAACAGTATAATTAAATTTTAAAGTCTTTAATTCAGACTAACTTTTCCTCTTGTTAGTCCATATTAAAACTGGCTATCTTATAAAAGTTCTCCAATAATAAAAGATTGCCTTATTTTTTAATAACCAGTGTGGATTATTCAATTTGGGTCAATTCATAGTCTCTATTTTTTCTTCTATTTGCCTTGAATTACTAAGTTTCTTCTGCTTGCTATTTCCTGCGCGAGGGAGAAGGAGGTGGAGACATGGGGTTGCAGGAGCTCCTGGAATTGTGCAGTTTGGAAGGTTGATATTAATACCAGTCATGAAGTTTCTAACACAGGGACCAGCAAATTATGGCCTGTGGGACATATTGGGACTGCTGCCTGTGTTTTTTTGTTTTTGTTTTTTTTTAGCAGCTAAGTTGTTTTTAACATTTCTTAATGGTTGGAAAAAAGCAAAAGAAGAATAACATTTCATGACTGATAAAAATTGTGTGATATTCAGATTTCAGTGGCCATAAGTAAAGTTTTATGGGAACATCGCCAGGCTCATTTATTTATGTATTGTCAGTGGCTCTTGCTTGCTATACTAGCAGAGTTGAGTAGTTGGGACAATCGCCGTAAGGCCCACAAAGCCTAAAGATTATCTGGTTATTACAGATAGTTTGCTGTCCCTGTTGTAATACATATAAGTATTGGGACTCAATCATGGATTGAGCGGGGTTAGTGTTAGCCCTTGGGTTTTTATTATTTTAACAGTATTTTGCAGTTAGATATGAGGCAGAAAGAGACCTTAGAGATGCAGTTCTTACGTAAGTCTTTTCCTTGATACACCTGACAAAAAGGTCAGCCTGTCCACGTGGGATTCAGTCATGTGACACTCACACCCCCACCAAGCAGCCTGCTCATATTTGGGCAGTTTTTACTGTTGGAAACTTTGACTTTATATTTCGATAGATAAGATAAGGAAATATTTGTCCTCCTGACAGTCACCACAAACTGGGAGGGATCTTTATCTTCCCCATCTCTCCATATAGGCCTGTACCTCAGGTGACCCAGGTTATAAGATGGTTCCTTTCTCACAACCATCTAAGAAAGAATCAAATCTCGTTGTTGTAACCCTGCCAACCTCCCTCCATCCCCAGCACACATATAGATACATATGTCAGTGTCTCAAAGTAGCTCAGGAAATTGTTTCTCCCATCTAAGCCAAGTCTTAGTTTCTAAATAAAAAGCCTATCTTTTTCGTGGTTTAAGAATACGGAGTTACAGACTGGATTACTTTGGAGTCTTTTATTTGTTGGTTTTAATACCAAGGGAAGTTATTTCTCCAATACCTGACTGGAGATCATCAGTAGGAGCGCTTTCTGCTTTGTTTGTTGTTCATATCTTTTTAGAATAGAAAGCAGAGCCATCAATATGGTCTGTAGTAGATACACTGAAAGAGGGAACGATTTGTCCCCACTCCTGACTCATCTCCTTTGAAGTATTTCTGAGGGCTCTGCCTCAAGGATATGTTGGACAGGCCCTCTTCCTTCTCAGCATTTATAGCCAGTGGCCAACCTGTCTGAATAGGAGCCCAAAGGCACTGACAAGGTGGTGGTGTGTTTACTGCGGTGTGCTCAGGAGCCTCTGGCTGCCTTTGGTGGTGACTTTCTCCTCCTGGGGTCAGCCTCATCCTTTGCTCCTCCAGTTACACTTCACAGTGTCTTCCTGGCTCTTTAGCACTGGAATGGGAACAGAGGCCAAAGGGCAGGGCTTATTTCCAGAATTGTTATAGTATTTTGCTTATTCACATGTTATAGTATTTTGCTTATCCACATGTTTTGAAGGACAAGACCCACTGCTTTCCATCAGATTGTCAAAGAGGCTGGTGACCCCAACAGAGTTAAGAACCACCGGCTAGAGAGAGATGGCAATAGTCCATTCAGCCTAACCCATGGCAGCGTCTCCGCTAGTTCTGCTGGATGTGTGACTGACCACACTGCTACCTGGAGCTGCAACGCCTATGGGCTATAGAGCCGGGGAGCATAGGGTCCCTGACTCTGACTTGTCCCAGAGGGTTCTCTTGGCACTGTCTGATTGCCTGTTGGCTCCCAGCAGCAGGCTTTCCTCTTGCTATTGTTATATTAGGCATTGCCATCTCCACTGGCTTTAGACCACATCCCTGTCAACATCTCCACAGTACATCTCTCTTTTTGCCCTGGAATAGCCAGCTTCTTTGAATCATCTTCCTATGTTTGGAGGGATGAGGAACATCCAAGTTGTCCCATCTTGACTTGAGCATTTACCATGGTACAATATGGTATAGCAGTGAAATGAGTGGGCCCAGGACAGGGCCATTTACTTGCTCCATTCATTCATTTCACAAAAGACCCATTGAGTGCTATGTGCCAGGCATTGGGGATACAGTAGGAAACAAAATAGACAAGATGCCAGCCTTATGGAGGCTGACAGGCAGAAAAACAGGTAAATAAACATGCAAGTAAGGTAACTACAGATGATAATAAACACTAGAGAAGAAACAAACAAGGTGGTAAGTCACTGGGGGAGTCATTTTAGATAAGATAGTTTGGGAAGGCCTTGTCAAGATTATATTCGAGCTGAGACCTAAAGAGTGAGAGGGATGTAACTGCTAGTTTTATATGTTTAGGGTTAGAACATTGTGGGCACAGGGAACAATAGAGTCCCTGGCTTTGTCAAGGGAAAGGCTTTGTCATGTTTGAGAAACAGAAAAATGATCAAGGTGACTAGAGGGGTGGAGAAGGAAGAAGACTAACAGGAGATGAGATGAAAGAGGTGTAAGGGACAGATCAGGTGGAGTTTGGAGGAGTATGCTGAATGTTCTTCACTTAACTAGGATTGTAATGGGAAGCCACTGGAGGAGTTTGGGTGGGAGAGTGATTTAATTTAATGCAGTTTTCAAGGTCACTCTAGTTGGTATGTGTATAGAAAACAGATTGAAGGGGGACAAAGCAGAAGCACAGAGACAATTAAGATGTCTTTTTAGTAGCTCAGACAAGATCTCATGGTGGTTTAGTCTAAGGTGTCATAATGGAGAGTGGATGAATTTGGAGATTTAATTTGGAGGTAGTAACACCAGGACTTTCTTATGATTTAAGTCTAGGGGTTGAAAAAGGTTGGGAGAAGGAATTCAGGATAAAGCCTCATTGGGGGATTTGTGTAATTAGGTGCTTGGAGGTACCATTTATTGAAATAGAAAATATTGTGAGAGGGACAGATTTCTAGGGAACACCATCAAGACCTATGTTTTAGATGTAATAAATGTGAGGTGCCTGTTAAACATCCGAGACCCAAGCTATATCACGTAGTTGTACAGGAGTCTGGCTGGTACTCGTGGGAGAGTTTTGGGTCAGAGGTGTCAATTTGGGCATCATTGCCTGACAGTTATTTAGAAAGAACTAGAGGAGAGTGTAGATATAGAGAAGAGCAGATTGTCCAGGATGGAGGTCTGAGGCATTCCAGCAGGGTTCAGGTAGGAGATGAGGAACCAGCAAAAGAGAGGAGGAGTGAGGAAGAGGAAGAACCAAGAGAGTGTGGTAACAAGAAGCCAGGAAAGGAGGGGTGTTTCAAGGAGAGAGGCGAACAGTGTAAATGCTGCTGAGTGGTTAAGGAACGTGACATTAGTGAAGAGTCCATTGAATTTGGCCAGCAACTATTCATAATTTTGAGAAGCAGTTTTAGTAGAGTTGTGGGAACAGAATCCAGATTAGAGCAGATGGCAATGTAAATAGCAGCAGGAAGGTGAGGATGGCGGGTGAAAACAGTGTGTTCATAGTTTTACTCTGGACGGGAACAGAACAATGGCATGACACTTAGAGACATGGGCTCAAAGGAATGTTGGTATGCTGATGGGAATAATCCAGTCAGAGGGAGAAATTGATGATGCAGGCAGGAGGGAGTGGTATCATTATGGAAGGTCAAGCTTTGGAAAAGGCAAGTGGGATCTGGAGCTTAAGTTTAATAGGAGCAGGGACACTGGCATCCATTATAATAGAAGGGAAAGCAGAGAGTATAGATTTAGGTGCAGGCTGGTGTGTAGAGCTGATGATGGGAAGATGAGGGAGTTCTTGATCATAACATCTGTTTTTCTCAGTGAAGAATGAAGTGAGAATACCAGCTGAGGATGGTTGTATGTGTGTGTGCATGTGTGAGTGCAAGCACACATGTGCACACTTGTGGCCTGATAGAGTGGGATTTAAGGCAGTAAACAGAGATATGAGACATGGTGGGACTAGTCCTGACCAATTAGTCCTCTTAGAGGAGGGAGGAGATAATCTGTTCAAGCTGTGGCCCTAAATACTGAGTTCCCTCTCAAGGGTCAGGGGCTGGTATCCTCAAGCAGCTGGCAGTGGACAATACTCTGCTGGACGAGGGATTTTCTCCCTTATCTGTAGGATTGTGGTAATGATTTGAATGAAATATTACTCCTAAAGGATTAACAGAGTGTCTGACACATGGTTAAGTGCTCAGTAAATGGGAGTGATTAGCTATTATTAATTGGTTTAGGAAGACTGAGGTGTAGAGAAGACACGTGTTTTTCTCAGGACCCTAAGAGGTCTCTAGGATGAATCAAAGACTGAATGAGCAAAGCCATCAGAACTTGCCCTCATGAGAGCAAAGGCCTGCTGGGATCTTGGACTATGAGACTGATGTATGTACTCGTCTTGCCTGGAGCAGAGCAGGCTAGTAACTCCTTCCCCCACCTTGATATATCTCCTGGGTTATCCTTAACTTCCTCATCCCACAGCTGGACAGTCTTGTCAAACAAAGGCCACATTCCACGCACCTCGTTGTCCATACCACTCTTGTTCCTACCTCTGTTCACTAGGCTGAAATGACTGCTGGTGGCAAACCCTGACCCCACCCCCCACCCATGAATGCCTTCACTCCAGTCAAGATGAATGGCTGTGGCTTGGACCAGCTCCAGGGGCTTTGTGAAGATCCCACTCTGTCGTTTTTGCTAGGTTCCCGAGATTATGTCCACGTTTCCTTCCCTCCCTCTTCTTGGAGGCTAGCTATGGAAGGTGGCTGACCTTGATTCTAGTCCTTGGTATCTTAAATCCATTTCTTTGTCAGGTTGATACATACCTCCTGCAACTATCCTGTGCCCCAGGGTTTGTCTTAAAAGTGTGAATTTATCCAGTCTGTTTTTGTGAAGACAGGCTAGCTTGTCAAGTCAGGTCAGGCACACGCTTGTGGGGCTCAGGTCCCTGCTGGCTTCTTTCCTAGAAGAATATAAGTAGGGTCCATGTTATTCTCTCTGTCTGTGTCCAGGACCCTCCAGGAGGTCCTGCCCTGGCATGTGCTGAGAGAGCAGCATTGCACAGACATTTCAGACTTGTTTTTGTCTGAGTAGCTGGCTGAGAGCTCTCTGTCCATGATGGGCTTCTGTCTGCCCCATGCCATTTCCTCCTCTTTTGTGATATGACCCCCCCTGCAGCTGTGTCTTTCCTCCTCTAGCTTCAACGTAAGATCACCCTGTTTGACTGCTCGCTGACTGAAGGTCAGGTCTCAGCTAGAGCTGGCCTGGTTTAGCTTGCCTGGGAGTACACCCACCCCTGGGGGTTTTCTTTCTTGGGAAAGATGGTGCCTCCCTCCTGACTCTCAACTTCTCTTTGGACAGGCTGGACATCAACACCAATACCTACACATCTCAGGACCTCAAGAGCGCACTGGCAAAATTCAAGGAAGGGGCAGAGATGGAGAGTTCAAAGGAAGACAAGGTATGTGACGTTCTTCCCAGGGAGTTAGAGTAAGCCTGCAGGACGGCATTGAAGGGAGTCACTTTTTCCTGAAGCTTTTGCAATAAACATGGGATGATAACAATAACATTATAAAATAATTTAAAGGACAGTTAACGCCAAAGAAGAAACCCTTTATATAGACTATTAAAAAATGCTGGGAGCATTTCTGTCATCATTTAGGTTAGGATCCAACTTCCCATTACATGTTTGGGGAAATTGAAGCACAAAGCAGAGATGGCCGTCCTCTGCGTTATTGCAGACATGCGTGAAAAGAACAGAGGTTAAAACTCAGATCTCCTCGCTGACACTTGGACTAGACACAAAGGACAGAGGTGCTAGGCTGGGCTGGAAGAAGCCTGGGTCCTTTGAGCATGTAGCAAAGGTATTCCCTTTTCAGTTCTCAAGATTCCTTAAATATACAACATGGGGCCGGGACAAGAGGATGGCTGAGGTTTCCACTTGCTCTAACTTTGTCTCCCAGCTAAGGGAGTCCGAAGGAAGGAGACAGAACTGCCGCTCCCTGGCTGTGCCCCTAGTGTCTGGGGAGGCTGATAGGTGCAGACCTATACCAGAGAGAACTCTTACTCTTAGATGGACCTCATGAGCTCATGTAATAGCCAGGGAATGTCGCAAATAATTTTTTACATTTCCGGTTGAGTCTTGTCCTTGAAAGAACCTCCTCTGATGGCCACGCTGGAGACCTTTCTAAGTTTTCCCTCGTTCTTCTCCACCCTGGCTTTGTCTACCTCTCTGCCCTCGCCCCAAAACCCCGGCACTATTTGGGAGGGGCAGCATCAATTTCCTGACAGCTTTTATGTTAGTGGAGGAAGCCTTAGATCCCTCGTATCCTTTAGAGCTAAGTATTTCTGAGACAAATAAGCTTTTTTTTTTTTTTTTTTTTTTTGGTGTCAGGGAGGACCTAATTAGGATATGTTAATATGCAGGTCCAGTCTCCTTGTCGTTACTCATCTTAACCAAAGCCACATATCCTGGCTTGGAGAGTATATGTAGTGTGAGAAAGTGAGTAGCAGGATGGCAGCAGCCGCAGCAGTGGGTGAAGCAAGCTGATGCATAGAATCCCATCCTACCCCAGGTGTATTATTAACCCAGGGGTGAGAAGCAGCAAATCCCCTACCTGGTAGAGGTGAGGCCAGCAGAGGAGAGCAGTGCATGCCTAGGTGCATGGAGCAGAGATTGGTGTTCTGGTGGCCGGGGGTTGGGCTGGTTCCCACTCCTTATCTCCTCACCATGTGGGGCTGGCAGGAACACAGGAACGTAAAAGTTAGCCTCTGCTCCTTGTCTCCTCTGAGGCTGGAAGGCCCACTGCACCTCTGTCTCTTCTCTTTGTTCTCTTTAATGACACTCTTCTTCCATAATTCAGTCTGTGTAGAAAAGTATGGATGTTATGGAAATATTTTTTAAATGTAAAAGCAAGAGATTAAGTTTGCAATTGTTTTTTGCAATTAAAAAAATCACTTCGTAAGTTACATAAATGTCTAACCATTATGCTGTATACCTGAAACTAATATAATACCGTATGTCAACTGTAATAGAAAAATTTAAAAAAAAATTTAAAACAAAAAATAATCCTCTCTCCTTGCAAAGGGAGAGCCCAATACCAGTATCCAAATGCACGATCTCTGTATTGGCTGATCCGAGTCAAGTGTCACTTTTGAGGCATGGCTGCCACACGCTTTTTTTTGCTTCTGTGGAGTTTAGGTTGTTAGCTCCTTCACTGAGGTGCTGGGTCCTGGGGTCTTTCTCCCACTTTCATTTGGAGCCTGTCTGGACTGACCCAGCGTACTGCCAGTGCACAGGGACTGGCAAACAAACTGACTTGGTGTAGGTTGGGGAGTTTCTTACATGTTCTAAGCTAATGGCTGCAGATGTCATCATACTTTTTATCAATCTTTAAACCAAGGTTGTGTGGCAGCTTATAAGTACAGGATAGTGCTTTTGCTATTTATAAAGAAAATACCGTCTGATATTATACCATATCCTGTCAATTGAGGGAATGTTTCTGGGACTTGAATTTTTGAGGGGAAGGGCATCAATTCTGTTGTAGCCATTGGTACCTTAGTAGATTTAAGTGAATCAGCTCTTCCCCGAATCACGTGTTTTGTGGAAAAGCTCGGTCTTCCTGAACAGGTTCGGGCTGCTCTTATTGAATCTGGTTTCTTTATCCCTCTATTACCATACAGATTGCTTGATGCTCTATGGTTTGGTATGTCAGCTGGTGTTCACCTGTATTCTATAAATTACTGCGTTTTAAAATATGGCCTTCTTAAACTTTTGATTCTGGACGAGATGAAGTAGACTCATTTCCCTTTATTCCTCCTGCTAAGGGCAACTAAGAACCCTAGATGCAATATTAAAATTGATTATAAGAAAACTCTATAAGATGGGAGGAAGGAGGTGGATTGGCTAGGGACCTTGGAACTTGAGGAATAACATGGCAGTGAGTTCCTTGGGCTTTCTTTTTTCCCTCTGTATATTCCAGAGTGGGCACTAGAGAAGCCCACATCCTGGAAATGCCAACAGGTACAGATAGAAAGGACCTGGAAAAGGGCAGCCTAATAGGACAAAAACCTTTTTGGCAATTCCAAAGGCCATGGAAACCTCCCCATTCCCACCCTTAGGGCCAGTGAAAGTTGAATGGGGAACTTAGTTTGTTATCGCTAAGTGGGGAGGTGGGAATCTACAATCCCATTCCTGCACCAGAGTGGTGTCAGCAGAAGCCGAGTGGGAGCCTGAACTTGTACTCCCTTTGGTGGCAGTGAGATGTGTGAGGCTGTGCTCTGCTTCCTCTGCCAAAGTGGTGTCAGTGAGCTGAGCAGACAGCCTGCATTTTTGCCTTCTGCCCTGTGGTAGGAGGCCTTTCTCTGCTCCCCCACTGCTGGCTACCAGCAGAGACGAGTGTTTTTCACCCTCCATGTGGGGTAGCAGGCTGTTTCTCCCGTTGGGCTGGGGTCAGCAAAGGCCAAGAAGAAAACCTGAATGTCTGTTCCCTGCCTGGCGGCACCAAGGTGATTTTTCACTTCTAGCCGAGGTGATGCCAGTGGCGGTGGTGGTGAATGGAGAGTCTGTACTTCCACCCTTCGCCTGGTGGCAGCAAGGCAGTGTGACACAGCAGCCTGCTCCCCACTCTGGGGCACTGTTAGTGGGGGTAAGTGAGGAGGCTGAACTCCCATCCCTAGACCAGCAGCAATGAGGCAATGCTTCAGTTCCCTCACTGGGGTGATGTCAGTAGAGGTCAAGGAAGGACTTTTTCTCCCAATGTCCAGCGTCCAGTGGTGGGAAATGATGCTCTTTTTCCCCCTAACTAGAGAGTGGTGGTAGGATTTTAGAGAGAGGGGAGCTAGAGAAAGGGATTTTGCAGATGAAGTCCTGGACATACCTCCTAGTGACCCACATGAGAAACTGACCAGAATTAACACAGCAAAAGATTTTAGAACTGAACTGTAGTGTGGAATACTGCCGAGGTTTTTAGATTAGCTTCTGGGTAGCACAGAAAGGAAGCAGACCAAAATAACATTGCAAAGGCTCTGAAAACGAAATTGTCTGGGGGTCACAGCCACACATGAAGGTCAGAACCAGCATATTAAACCTAGACAGTGTGACTGCCTACTGAAAAGGAAGATTCAAATAGGATTCAGAGTCTTATAACTTAGTACCCAAAATGTCTAGGATACAATAAAAAAATCACTCATCATACCAAGAACCAGGAAAATCAAAACTTGAATTAGAATAGACAATTAACAGATGCCAACAGTGAGATGACTCAGAAGTTGGATTGATCTAACAAAGATTTTAAGCAGCTATCATAAAAAAGCAATTATGAACACTCTTAAAACAAATGACAACCTCAGCAAAGAAATAGAAGATATAAAAAAGAACCAAATGGAATTTTAGAACTGAAAAATACAACTAAAATTGTTAAAGTAATCACTGGATAGACTTTATACCAGAATAGAGATGAGAGAGAAAAACATTGGTGATCTTGAAGACAGATAAAAATTTCTTAATCTAAATAACAGAGAGAAAATAGATTGAAAAAAATGAACAGAGACTTAGGGACCTACAGGACTACAGGCATGCCTCTTTTTATTGCGCTTCACTTTATTGCACTTTGTAGAAACTGCAATAGACGTTTTCATCAACGTCTATGCAAGACCCTCCACCCGCAAAAAGATTACAATTTGCTGAAGGCTCAGATGATGGTTAACATTTTTTAGCAATAAAGTAGTTTTTAATTGAGGTATGTACATTTTTTTAGACATAATGCTGTTGCACACTTTATAGACTACAGTATAGTGTAAACGCAACTTTTGTATGTACTGGGAAACCAAAAAGTTTCTATTACTCACTTTATTGTGATACCTGCAGTACCTCCTAGGTATGCCTGTATAACCAAAGATACAACATTTGTGTCATTGGAGTTTCAGAAAGAGAGAAGGATGAATATGGGGCTGAAATAATAATCAAAGAAATAAAGATGGAAAAATTCCCAAATATGGTGAAAAACAGAAATCTATAGATTCATGAAGCTGAGTGAATTCTTTTTATTTTTTATTTCAGGTGTACAAAGCAATGTAATAATTAGACATTTATACCCCTCCTAAAGTAGTACCCCCCAATCTACCCCTCTGACATTGTACATAGCTGTTACATACAGTACCATGTTCCCTATGCTGTACTTTACATCCTGTGACCACACACACACACACACACACACACACACACACACACACACACACAGGGTGCCAAAAAAAGTATACGCATTTTAACAAAGGAGTTCTTTATTAAAATTATAATAATATATACCTATAACAGAAGATGAATACAAGTCATGTTTGACTTCTGCAATTACAAGAGGTGCTCAAAGTGGTTACCATCAGTGTCCAGACACTTCTGATTATGGTGAACTACCGCTTGAGCAACGTTGACCAAAGTGTCCACTTGTATATATTTTTTGGCACCCCCAGTGTGCATATATATATCTGACATTCAATATTATTCTACTTCAGCTTCAGGTGTACAGTGCAGTGGTCAGGCATCTACACAGTCTATGAAGTGATCCCCCTGATAATTCCAGTGCCCATCTGGCATCCTATATAATCTTTACAACATTACTGATTATATTCCCCATACTGTATTTCATATCCCTATGACTATATTGTGATGACTAATTTGTACTTTCTAATGCCGTCACCTTCTCGTCCATCCCCACCTCTCTCCCATCTCGCAACCATCAGTTTTTTCTTTATGTCTCTGAGTCTGTTTCTGTTTTGTTTGCTCGTTTATTCCATTCTTTAGATTCCACATATAAGTGAGATCATATGGTCTTTAATAGGATAAACCCAAAGAAATCGATGCCATGACACCATTACAGTCAACCTTCTGAAAACTAAAACCAGAAAACTCTTGAAAGCAGCTAGACAGAAACAACACATTATCTATAGGGAACAATGATTGAATGACAGTGAATTTTTCATCTGAAACCACAGGGGCCAGAGTACTGTGGCATAACATTTTTCAAATCCTGAAAAAAACTATCTACTCAGAATTCTATAACCAATGAAAATATCCTTCAGGAGTGAAAGGGAAATTAAGACATTCTCACACAAAAGCAAATTAAAAGAACTTGTCACCAGCCTAAAAGAATGACTAAAGAATATTCTCCAAATAGGAAGTAAATGATAAAAAGGAAACTTGGAACATCAGAAAGAAAGAAAGAATAGTGAAATGAGTAAAAAATGAGAGAAAATACAATAGACTGCCCTCTTGAGCTTTTAAAATAGTTTGATAGTTGAAGGAAAATTATGTCATCATCTGTAACTCCACATACATTCAGTATAAATTCCACTGCCAGAGTTACAGCTTTTGTTTCTTTGCTGCACTTGCATCTGCTTTGGGCAGTTCTCTCTTTGGATTAGCCATTTTTATGAAATATTACCTGGGTTTATCATTTGGGGATGAGGAAGCCATACAACTACACACTTGAAGTCTGTGTATGAACTGAATAATGGACGCCCAGTGACCAATCACTGACAGACTTTGAAAGAAGTGATGTGATCAGCCACTGATCATCGTGGGCATTTATGTTATTTATGTAGTGATTTGTGGGCTGAAAAACTAGCAGCAAAGGTGGTAATTTATGCAATTACAGTCAATATATTGTAGCAACTGAAACTGTGTCATGTTGGGAGACTGGTGTTACTTAAACTGTGGTGTTTGAAATTGGTGCATATCAGGTCTCTGCAAAACAAAGATTGTCTATATCGGGTAGAAGACTTGTATCTAGAATATGTAAAGAACTTTGAAAACTCAGTAGGAAAAACCAGCAACCTACTGGGAAAATGCACAAAGGACATAGCAGACATTTCGCCAAAAAGGGCATGTGGTTAGCAGATAAGCACATGAAAAGATGTTTAATGTGATTAGCCATTTAGAAATGCCAATTAAATCCATGATGAGATATACTGTATACCTATTAGAATACCTAAAATTAAAACGGTGGTAATACTAAATAATAATAGTGAGGATGTGGAGAAACTGGATCTTTCATACATTGTTGGTGGAAATATAAAATGGTACAGTGCTCTGGAAGATAGTTTGGCAGTTTCTTATAAAACCAAACATATGCTTATCATACAATTCAGCAGTTGCACTCTTGGGCATTTATCCCAGAGAAATAAGAGCTTAAGTTTATACAAAAACCTTTATACAAATGTTCATGCAGTTTTATTCGTAATAGCCAAAACCTGAAAAAAAACTCAAATGTTCAACAGGTGAATGGTTAAACAAACTGTACATCTATACAATGGAATACTATTCAGCATTAAAAAGAAATGAACCATTGATATATGCAGTAGCTTGGATGGATCTCAAGTCATTATGTTCAGTAAAAATAAGCCAATCTCAAAGATTACACACTATGTGATTCCATCTATATATAACATTCTCCAAAAACCAGAATTACAGAGCTGGAGAACAAATTAGTGCCAGGGCATAGGGACGAGAGAGAGAGGGTGGGAGGCCGAGGCACTGCTCGAAAGGAGCACAGTGGAGTTGTTTAGTGGTGATGAAACAGCTCTGTAGCTTGATTGTTCTGGTGGTTACGTGAATCTGTATATTGAATAAAATTTTATGGATGATACACACATACGTGTAAATGTGTACATGTAAAAGCTGATGAAGTCTGAATAAGGCCTGTAATCTAGTTAACAGTATTGTACCTATGTTTTCTTGGTTTTGATATTGTGCTATTATGTAAGATGTTACCATTGTACTACTTTTCTAACTGTCTGTTTTTAATTATTGCAAAATAAACAGCTCCCCCTCTCCCCTCCAGCCCCCTTTCATAAAAATGCCTTCCTGAGGGCCCCGCACACCTCATTTTTGTGAGGCAGAGGTGACTAGTTTCTTATCTTTCTCACTTGCCTGTCATCCCACAGCTCTAGACAGTGACTCAGCTTTCTCAGACCTCTTTGCCTGGCCAGAGTCCTCTAGCTGGGTGTAAGGAGAGCATTTCACTGTTTTAGCCCAAAGAAACAGGATATGGCATCCTATAGATGTGATTACTGTGCTAGGAGCTTGCTCTTTTTTAAGAGAGGCTGATTCATTTCTTTGGTTGATGTTTCTGTGGAGTGCTTATAACTGGAGAGAAAACCCAGAGGTAACAGATGAGCAATTTAGAACTGACAGCTGCTCATCATCCTGCTTTTTATAAATATTCTTGCTTTTTAATTTTTCTTGGAAGATAGAGACGCAAACCACTGTGACATTTCAGACTCTCTTTATAAGCACTATCCTCTAAAATTGGGAAGAAAACAGGGAGTGTCACAGGTATAAAATATCTAATTAAAGTCTTTTATTCACCTCCAACATGACTTCATTTTAAAAATCTTTCTATGTGTGTGGGGTGGGGAGGGATTGAGAGAAAATTGTTTGAGATTTGAGTATAGTACATACAGTAATTTAGCCACTTCAAACAGTTGAACAAATTGTACACCTGTAGTTAGATTGACAGTAATGACAGTGACTTAATTTTCATCAGCAAATTGTTCCCACCCTGACATCTTCTTACCCACAGTTTCCTGCATCCGGGTTTCCCTAAAATGTTGCTGGATTGGTCAGGGCAAAGCCAAGATTTTCTGTGATTGTAGGATATGGAGAACCAAGGTGTGGATTATTCCACCGTAGACCTCAGCCTTCCCATGTGAGGTTCGGGGTGGGAGGTGAGCTTGCATTGCTTTCCCTGACCTCAGTGATTGCAACAAGAAGACTTTCCAGTCTTCCTGAACATTGGAAGTTGGACTGGCGTAAGAGAACCTTGGAAGATCTTGAGTGTGTTTTTGGTGCAGAGGGCTATATGGGGATACACCGAGGGCCCTGTTCTCCAGGCATCTTAGAAGGCATCAGGATTTCTGATAGTACAGATGAAAGAAGACTGTGAGTCCTGGAGAAGCAGTTCTTTGAGGATGGGTATCCATGGTAGACCATGAGAATTTTGGGGCGATGTCTCCAATTGCTTTGATTAATCATCTCTTTGCTGCTCTTCTTAGGCAAGGCAGGCCGAAGTTAAACGGCTCTTCCGCCCCATTGAGGAGCTGAAGAAGGACTTCGAGGAACTGAATGTTGTCATTGAGACTGACATGCAGATCATGGTGCGGCTAATCAACAAGTTCAATAGTTCCAGCTCCAGCCTGGAAGAGAAGATTGCTGCACTCTTCGATCTTGAATATTATGTCCATCAGGTATTGTATTTCTTTGTCCATAAGTCTGACTTTTAACTGACAGCCCCCATCCTTAAGCCTTAAGAAAAAATACCAGCCTCTGTACTTTTCTCCCAGAATGCACAGTATTTTTAATCTAGGCCAATATTTATTGTAGTAAGATACATTCTTAAAGGCCAGAGCTAACCTCTTACATTTGGAGCATCACCTCCTTTATTCCTTCAACACTGAGGCTACAGCACAGGTAAAATAGATGTGGTCCCTGTTTATTGTTGCTTATAGACTGGTAGGGGGAACAATTAAATAACGAACAATTGAACAATGGACAAATTAACCATTTAATAATGACATAGTTTAAAATCATGTGCAAGGCTCCAGAGGGCAGTGCATATAACAGGGGAACTTAGCCTAGTCAGGGACACTGGGGAAGGCTTCCCTGAGGGTGGGACATTTAGGCTGAGCCTTAAATGATGATCAGGGGTTTGCTAGGCCATGAGGGGAGATTAGAACAGGAGATGACGCACTGTGGCCCATGGGCCAACTGTGGCTCACTCCTGCTTCTGTAAATAAAGTTTTGCTGGGACACAGCCACACCTGTTTGTTTATGTATTGTTCTTTTTTAAAAGATTTTATTGGAGAATTAGGGGAGGGGAACAAACAGTGTTGGGGAATTGGGGAGGGGAACAGACAAGTTGCTGTCCTTTTGTTATTCAATCTAGTTGTGGAGGACGTTGCTTCACTGGTCCATGTTGGTGTTAAAATTGCGCTCTTCCTGGGATGAGGCAGTCGCTCGCTTGCCATTGGACGGCCGCGCCCGGTGACTCAAGGCAACCCAGCTCCAGGTCGAGCTGTTGTTCACCATCTTAGCTGTAGAGGGTGCAGTGTCACTGGCCCTCATGTGGGATCCAACTGGGCCCTGCTGCTCAGAGCTGGCGTCCCAAGCCAACTCCTAACCAATGTGCTACTTGGCCGGCCCTGTTTATGTATTGTTTTATTTTTGGCTTTTTTCATGCTACAATGGCAGAGTTGAATAGTTGTGACAGAAACCAGATGGTTCACAAAGCCAAAAATATTTAATATCAGGCCCTTTAAAAAAAGTTTGCCAACCCTTAAATTAGAGCCTTTCAGGTAGAGGAAAGAGCATGTGCAGATTCTGAGGCAGAGAAAAGCTTGGGGAGAATGAGGACCTGGAAAAGATTAGAGGGACTAGAGCATAGTGACCAGGGGATGGGGGAGTGGCAATGACGTGGAATGGTTAGTGAGGCAGAGAGTTGGGGTTGGGACTATCTTCTCCTTATGGTTTTATCCTTGATCCTAAGAACCATTGAAGAGTTCAAAGCAGGGAAATGACTCATCAGACTTGTGCCATAATGATGGTAGTTAATATTTATTGAGCATTATCATATAATAGGCACATATTCAAGTGCTTTGAACACATTAATTTATTGGCTTCCATAGCTGCCTTATGAGTAGGTACTATTAATCCCATTTTATAACTGAGGCAAATAAGTTCACACTTGTGATTGCCCAAGGTCACACAGTAGAGCTAGGATTTGCAACAAGGTCTGTCTGACCCCAAACCTCTACTCTTAACCTTTTGGACGTTCTGCCTTTCACAGGAGACTGATAGTGTTTGAATGAAGCCTGAAAGAGAATAGGTGAATCTAAGGAAAAGGAGCCAAGAGAAGCCATTTATTTATTCAATGAATTAATTTATTAGGTGCCTGTTAAGTCTCAGGCACTGTTCCAGGCACTTAGGGTACATCTGTGAACAAAATTTGAGCTTCCCTTCTAGCAGAGGCAGATAGTCAATGAACGTAACTAATAAGTAAATTATAAATAATGTCTGAAGGTGATAAATACTATGGAAAAATAAAAAGTATAGCAGGGAAGGGAAGAGCCTCTCAGGCAGGAGAAACATCAAGTACTCTTGGCCCTAAGGTGGGAGCATATCTAGTGTGTTCGAGGAACTACAAGTTAGTCAGTGTGGCTGGAGCTGAGAGAAGGAGAGAAGTAGATAAAACTCAGATAATGGGAGGGAGATCATGGAGCGCCTTGTAGGCCACGGAAAAGAATGAAATTGGACATTATTAGAGGACGTTTAGCAGCAGGACGACGTGATCTGACTTACTTTAAAGGATCCCTCTGGCTGCTGTGTTGAGAATTAGACCGGACCCTAGGGGCATGGGTAGAAGCAGAAACCAGATTGGAGGCTATTGCAGTAATCCAGATTAGAGGTGATTCTGACCCAAGAAAGCTGTGTAATCATAATCAAAGACTTGTTTGGACCCTCATCAAGACATAGATCTTCACCTTCCTCCCACATGCGACGGTGTCCTTGTTCTCTGTAAACTAGGCTAAAAGACATTCTTTCTTTAGGATTTGCCAGCCTTTGTGGGAGAGAGGATGTGAGTCCTGTATCTGCAGGCATTATGGGGCAGCCGCTTCATCTCACTCTCTCTCTGCTCATAATGCTTTCTCAGGCCTCAAATAGCAGGTCTGTGATCCTTTCAGAGAAAATGGACCTGGGTTCTCGTTCCTCTTTCTAGCCTTTCTCTCCAGGGTGAAAAAACAAAAATTTCAATAGCTTTGCTCTTATAGATATTTAAAGGATTAAGGATCCTGGGGGTTATTTGCACAGTCTTGCTCTGATGTTGACAACTTTTATTTTTTCTCATCTTAACATACTTGAATGGATCTTTAGGTACCAGATTTCTGTAGGTTCTTCCTTTAGCTGCAGCATCAAAGGCCAAAATGACTTGAGAGCTTATCATACCTAGAGGGGAGTGTGTACACAGGAGGCCTGCAGGGCCTTGACAAATTCCTTTTTCCCTGCAAGTTTCATCTCTGGAATGACATCCTGTTCTGCTTTCAGAGGTCAATGGGTGGGGTAAACGGTTTCTTGGACATCACCAAACTCAGTCTGAGGTCAGCCCGGTTACTAGCCCCCTGGTATAGGCCAAACTTGCTCTGTTGGTAGAGGAGTCATAAATGTTTTGAGTCATTAGCCTTTTGATTGGAAATATAAGGTCCTTGATTTGGGCTGATATGTCTGGTTTCCATGCAACAGTGTTAAGTTGTGATTTCACAGGGGGATTAAAGAAGACACAGCTTGGCCTTGAGTCCCAGTTGCAATGGGTAATTAGGGGTGATGTAGTGCTAGCTTTGAGGAAGATGGGACTTTTCTTGCCAGGAACTTCACCAGTCTACTCCTGTTCTAGACTCACTGATTGGCAGTTCTGAGAGCCATGGGCTTCAAGGACCCAAACTGGATCTGCCCAAGGATTTCTCACAGCCATTTTTAAATTATTAAACAGGATTTGTGAAAAGCAAAACCGTGTGTATGGAAAACAGTTTGTGAGTTATTTATGAGTGGCTTGTTTCTGCCCATCCACCCTGGGGCAGTGTTTGCCTTCCCCACGTAACTCCTCAGTTATTTACCATCATTTTTCCCTTTCTGTTTCCTGTTCTCTCATTGTCTCGTCAGTGCTCTGATTCTCTTTTTTCCTCTTGAGTGTTGGCACAACTCCCTACTGCCCCCTTCCTTATGCATTCCTTCCCTCTACCTTGAGCTCCTTGCCGCCTGTCTCACCCCATCCTGAAGGCAGCCTGGGAAAAGTCCTGGCCCCAGACCCAGATTTTGGAGCTTGATCTTCTGGGTGTGCATTAGGTAGAATGACTCCTTTCTTCCTCATCTCTAGTGAAATAACAATTGAGGAAACATATTGAGAAGGCTGAAGTGCTTATATAAATGTTAGCATTTATAACACCCTGATTATCTTTGTAGTAGTAAAGATAAACTGAGTCTAGAACAGAACCGTTGTGACTCTGGGCTGTGTTGCTTTGGGGCTGTCAGAGTGGCAGCTGCTCTGCTAGGAACCCATACAGGCTTTGATAAGTAGCCATCCCAAGCTTGCAATGACAGGACTCTGAGCCAGGTTTTGTATCCAGAAAACCTGGAGGAAGGAGGATCAAAGGAGAGGCAGTGAATTCTTAGATTTTAAAATCAGGGTTTGTGAGGAAGGGAGGCTTAGTAGTACTTGCGCTATGTCACAAAGCACCCAGCTCTGAGCCTCCCTAGTTAGCTGCACTGTGACCCCATAATCATTCCTCTTCATAAGGACAGATTAGGGCAGAAAAATTCCAGCCCTGGCTGGGGGCCTTTATGACAGAGTAGACTCCATACTTACTTCATGATCCTGGATTGGCCATCTCTTCAGGTTTGTGGTACTAGGGACCCATCCATTTTGTTGGCACAGGTTCCCCAGGTTGCCTTTTTACTCACAGTGGAATTTATTTCAGTAACATTTTTTTTTTCATGATCAAATTAATTCATTGTTTTAATGATTATTTATCGAGCACCTAACTATATGCTCGCACTATTCTAGTCACCAGACCTACAATAGGGGACAGACAAAGACCTCTGCTCTTGGGGAGAGTATATCAGAATGTATAAGTGGTAGACCCACACCCAAAACATAGGCAGAGTCAAATGCAGTGCTTCAAACTTGATTTCTCTGTTAGAGCCCTTTTCCAGTTCAGAAGGACAGTTGGGGAGGAAAGGGCTCTGTGGCATCTGGAGGAAAGGTGAAGAGCAGTCATGTTGTCGGGCTCTACCTTCCTGGGTTTTTCTGATGATTTGTAGAGTGGGATCAGCATGTAGGCAAGAGGCAGCAACAACGATATTTTCAAGGGAAGCCTGCAGCATGAAGAAAACAGGGTCCAGTGATCTTTCTAAGGAAGTTGAGTCGTCTTGTTCTAAAATACTAATGAAGCTTGGGCAATGAGATCCCCACTTTTATAGAATAAAAGAGAGATTGTCCGAACTTTGGGCTTTGGACCTTAAACGATAGCCTGCCAGTGCTGTCTGATAGAACTTTATGTGATGATGGACATGTTCTGTCACGAGCCAGCTGTACAGTTCTAGACCAAAGCCTTTGAGAGAGAGACTTTTGTGCAGATGTTATCAGAATGTCCACAGATTCAGTCAGCCTTAGACTATATGAAGTGAGGAAGAGGAAAGAGGATGGTACTATTGTTATTTCTCTCCGATCACTCTTCTAGGCCCCTCTCCCCCTGCAACAGGGCTCCTCTTATAGTCCCGGACTTCTAATTAAAAATCAGCTTTAAAAAAAAAATGTCTGCTGCCTCCATTGCCCCCATTGGGGCTAGACATCAACAGGAAGCATGGCGCCATTTAGTAGTGCTGATGATGCCAGATCTTTGTGTTAACAGCTTGTACATTAGGAGTAAGCCTTGTGACTCACTATGGTATTAGAATTTTCCAGGACATGTTTGGCATAAGCAATAGATAGGTGCCATTTCTGCCAGTTCCCATGCAGGTGCTCATACATCATGTTAGATGAATTAGGAGTTCTCAAACTTAAGATGATTTAAAAATTTAGTTTTCTTCAAATCCTTTCCTAGTTAGTCAGAAAGGCAACCATTGCTTTTTATTTGATTTTTTAGTTTGTTTTTGAATAGTCACCAAAAACAAGGCTATAAGAAGAGCTCTTCTTTCCTTGATGGCTGCACTGTGCTAAGCTGTGCCTTTGTTGCAGATGGATAACGCACAGGACCTGCTTTCCTTCGGTGGCCTTCAAGTGGTGATCAATGGGCTGAACAGCACAGAACCCCTGGTAAAGGAGTACGCTGCATTCGTGCTGGGGGCTGCCTTTTCCAGGTGAGCAGCAGGATGGACATCCCATTGGCCAGGATTGTTTGGGCCCCTCAGGTGAATCCTAGCTTTACTCTCGGCCTGACTGGCCTGGATATAGGTTACACTTGAACTCATGCGTATCCCTATCCACATTTCATGGTAATCTCAATGAAACCAGAGTAAGAGATTGATTCTGTTCTTATTCCAAGTAGATAAGAATTTTCACCTATGTTGTCACCACTTATGGCTCTCTGTTTCCCCTCATCTTCTATGTCTGGACATTTAATGACATATTGTAGATCACATTCTCAGTTTTATTCAAAGCTAATAAAAACCATAATTTGTGAGGAAAGGGGATGAATTCTAAGAGCTGATCCTTTTGGAAGTAAAGCTGCATACATCTGGTGATGAATAAATGATGGACCTGACAAAGGAGGGTCTTTTGGGGGAAATGTGTCTTTCCCTTAGCTGTCTAGAACCAATCAATATGCAGTCAGGGTATCAGACTCTGGGTTGAAAGTTGTTTAAATTTCAATTAGTCTGGCTTGTGCTAGAAGACTGATCAGGCAAGAGGAGTGGGGAGACAGCATCTCCGAAGAGTGGATGAATCAAGATATGTGGGTACCATATCATTATACTAAAAAAGTGAGGATGTTTTCAAGCTGCAATTGATTCATTGGAGCCATAATTCTTTCCATTGAAAATCTGTTCCTAGGACCATTTGTGCTTCTAAAACAGGAGCCAATATTCAGATTCTTGCTGCAAGGGCATGGTGGTGGCTATTAGGGTTGCCCTGCTTGGATGTAGGAATCGCGATGTTGTAGGAAAAAGGCTATTCTTTACATCTTTACCATTGGAAGCTTTGTTTTGAAAAGCTTTCCTTTGTCTTTCATCCATGCTTATCTTTATTTAATTTGAAACTCAGTCTAATGTCCTCTCATTCTGAAAAACTTTAGCATCTTTTCATAGTAAACTAAGGGGCAGAGCTGGAAAGGTTAGAATTGTCCCATGAGGAGAGGCTGAGAGCACTGCAGGCTTTTATTTCCCTTATCACCACCCTGCCTTGATCCCGAAGCCCTGGTTGTTCTGTGGTTGTGTTGTTGGCAGTCAGGGCTGTGGCCTCCAAGACACTCCGCCTCCCTTGATCTCACCTACCAGACTCAGACAGTCTCCCAGGAAGCCCAGGGAAATCTCTGCTTGTGCATCCACTGGGAAGGTGGAGAATCTGAGTGTGTCATTGGTGGCTGTGATCTCAGCTCTGGAGAAGTTCGGGATCTTAGCCTCATTAAGGCTTTAGAGGCTTGAGAACATACTGAGGCTCGTTTTTTGTTCCTCAATCCATAAAAGAGCTAAATCCAACATTATTAACCTCTCTCCCCAGACCCTTTTTGGAAATATTTTCCATAATTCCAACTATCCTGTTTTCACTTTGAATATGAACAAATGGTCCTACTTGTTCCTTGCCATTACTTTTGGAAACACATTTTTTGGGGGAAACTGTGTAGTACCTTGATGTCACTTCTTAGTTAAAGGGGACTAAGTGACTTGAGAAGTACGCATTGGGCCTGCTTAGTAGGACATAGCTCATCCGGGGGCTGTGCCAATATGTGGTGTTAAGATTTTTCTGTGATTGTGTTAGTGTAAAACCATGTTAACATTTATGTGGCATCACTAAAATTTAAATAGAGATAAATATAAAATATTGCAATTTATTTTTTTGGTGGCAAGCATACTGCTGTATTCAAGATGTTCTAGCTGGGCTTTTGATGGCTCACCGGAGGGCAGTTACAGTGACAACGTGGTATGGCGCCAGAGCTTTTAGAAGCCAACAGCAGGCTTTTTGAACATCATGAAAATGTCAATGTGTTATGCAAAGAGGAACTTGGTGCAAGGTACGAATAATTCTATGCAGAGAGGCAGGTTTCTGTGCTCTAGTCTGATATTCATTGTTTCCTCTTGATGTCCTGAGTATTGGTCCTGTAGCTCCTTCCCTCCCCTCAGCATACAAGTGTGCACACACACA